ATTTCCAATTTAAGTCAAAGACAACCAATGATAAACATGCATAACTTGGTAGCGCTCTTAAAAAATCCGAATGTGATATCTAAATGTGATATGTTCATATTGTATGTATTTACACTTATTAGCAAGGCAGCGGTCGTATTCCATTTATAATCTTTTCAATGTTCTCTGTATCATCTGATATCACGTTGACGTCAGTTACAGAACCACTAGATAGAAATCCCACTCTCACATAATCACGGGTATTAGGAACTTCTAGAATACAAAAATATCCTGTCCCCTCAGCGGCCACTTCGCACCCTTCTATCTGAATGGAATAGTATGGGATGGGGTTCTGCCAGACTAAATGAGGCGTGTCGAATTGTAAAGTATCAGGTTGCCAGAATCTAACATATAAAAACCATTGCGGAGAATAGTGGAATAATTTAGAGACGAGTGGATCTTTAACTTGACCAAAAAGTAATTTTTCTAAAACGGCTATGCCATAACCGCCTTCCGTGGTAGGGAAAATTGAGTAATCCCCCAGCCAGTTGCCATCATGTCTCGTGATACTGCCTTTGTACAATTGTGTTATTTGTCCCGTGATATCGCTATTTTAAAAATAAATAAATAACGGGGTGATTTGATTAATCTAAATGCTTTATAATTACCAAATATTAATATGTAATACTCACGGTGCGCTAAAAATTTTCCACTGAAATCCTATCGTTACAAGAAAGTCCTTGTCTGGATCGACATTAGCCTTTACGAGTAGTCTAAGCCTGGAAGCGTTGTCGATAGGGCCATCGGTAAGCATCACATCGCTATCCAAGAATACAAAATACGTTTAGTTTAAAAGAGCTTTGAATCATCGATTCTAAGCTCTCATAAAAAGCTTTTCGCTTCCTGACTTTTTGGACAATATACTTTTGCTCTAAGTAACACTTTACCTTTGTAATATCTGGCCACTCCAATTAACCAACATTCCATGTATAATTTGGTCGTCATTTGCCTGCATTACTAACACATATCCGTCATTAAGTGGGAAAGCTTGCGGTCGGTATTTAGTAGAATTGTACGTTGGCACAGTGAATTTGGTCAACGTGCCATTTGGATGTAGCAGACGAATATACAAATTATTTTCGGTTTGAAACGTAGCATTATCAAAACGAGTCAATTGCATGAGCCCTGTGCCATCTGGATACGTAAAGCCATTACTAATAAAGGGGACAAACTCAAAGCATTGAAGATTATCAGTGTCTTCATACACTGAAGAACTGTTTTCAAGAGCCCGAACTCTTGGAAAAAAGCCAATAATAAGAACAAATAGTAAGAGATAGCAGAGCCTGCTAATCATTATCATAGTATATGCAAAAGTGACAATGAAAACCGAGCTACGTTCTGGCTAGGATTAGAACTCAAATGAAGAATGGTGCTTTTATTGATTCATTTCATTGCCCCTGATAGACATTCTCCTTGAGTTTGGGTGACGGTTTTGCAGATGCGCTTTGTCATTATCAATCATGAAACAATACTTTTCTTTTACGCATTAACCATATGAGGCGAAAGAATAGAGACATCCATTTGCAGCACACAATATTGAAATACAACAATACTTTTCAAGATAAAACGTAAAGTAATGATCATATAAAATTCGTCATATAGGATATTTCTTTCTATAAATAGATTAATCTTCGTCTCGCCAACAAAATGTGGAACGTTGTTGAAGATCACGATGTGCTTAATATTAGATTGCACAAGACCTATTATGTTACACTGGGAAACGGGAATCCGGTTCATAAGGAACTTGTATCCGCCAATGATAATAATAACGACCTCATCATCATTGGTCGAAATTATGTGTGTGATCGAAATTTTTCATAGTAATTCCTAACAATTTGAGCAGAACTAGAACTATTATCTAATTTTCGCTCCTATTGACTGCATCGACACCTCTCTTCTATAGCAGAACAAAAAATTGATGCACGCATAAGGCACAAGGCAACGACCACTCATATAAAATACTTGACCATATTTTCTTGCCTACGTTGCCGACATTGTGCGTGCGTGATGGGGAATAGAGTGAATGGACTTGCTTTTTGTCCCCGAGCGCATTTGTATTTGCTCCCGTCCCACATTCTGCAGAAAGAGCAAGAATAGGAACGGAACGGAACAGGCTAATATCTTCCCGAATTAGCCCAGTAATAATCATCAAATGATCTACCAGTTTTGAATTGTGATCGAATATTAGTATTAGTTCGCTGATCACAGAAAATCTTATTACAGTCATACCTCTTTTATATCCCGACTTTGGGACGAGGAGTTTTCGGGGATATAAATGAGGTGGGATATAAATGAGGTATTCATTTAAAACTAAAACATGCAATTTTATTGG